CCCCCCCCCGCCAGATTGCCACTAAACTGCCAACTCCATGGTGTCCAAAAATCTATCGTCTGGGAGTAGGTGAATAAGTGCATTTAATTAGGGTTCAAATGTAGTGTTTGTCATTTGTTTCACTTAGTTCCAATCTATTTAAAGTTTTTTTATAAAAAAAGCAAACAATAGGGTCCTAGCTTTTGTTGGACATCCAACGGGAGCAAGTGTATTAGTTTAAGAGGGATGCATTCAAAACATCACTGCTCTCTAAAGCTCGCCCAAATTTGAACTATTGAATAGTTAAGTGGTGGCCTAAGCAATAGTCTTGTATGTCATATTCGACTACTTCCACAGTACTCACCTCACCTTTTCTCCCTACCTTTGTGTCTGTCTTTTTAACATCTTTGAATCACTCTTCTGTTTCCACCCCTCGACATTCTGCTACTTTGTTGTTCCTCCCCTCTGTGTGAAATCCGAAGTCAACTAAAGAGCTGGCGATAACTATCAAAACGCCCGCCAAGTAATATAAATAAGCAAATGTTACAAATTGCGTTAAATTATTTGTAGTAGGTCTTGCATTTAAGTGAGCACCGTTCCTTATCCGGCAACTCAAATGGCTTTTCAATAGTAAACCAACAACCTCATCTTCATACATAAATTCTAATTATTCACGAAGAGCCCTATTCGAAATGCAAATCAATTTGCCACTGTTGACAATTCTGACCCTTTCACAGTTTCTTAAAATGTTACTATTTTGTTGGATAAACAATCGTGCTAATAGAGATCCCCCCCCCCCCAGCAATAATACTAGTGTACTGATAATATAGGATTTTAAGCAAATTCAATTTCAATCAATCAGAAAGGCTTCACGTGAATTAAAACCTGAGTGTCCGTCAATTATCATTAAGACCAACCAGAGTACTCAATGAGACCATAGAAGAGAGGGAGTACGAAAATCAAGGACAAGACTACAAAATCCACAAATAATAGAAGAGGGAGTGAAAGCTGGTGAAATATGGGTGGAGGAG